CCATTTAGTAATGAAAAACAGGTTAATATGATAAATTCTGCATTTAGAGAACAGGAAAATTTTATAAAATCCATTGTTCTTCGTTCTTGGAAATAAATCTTGCCCAAATCATTCAGGACTGAAAGGCAAGGCTTTTCTGAGTTGCGGGGAACACATGGTGGATGGGGTATAGATACGTAATTGTGACGGACAAGTACTTAATCTCTTGTAGGGAACCCGTCAGTGGTAGGGATAAGAAGCTATGGGAGAATTTTTGAGGCATAGCCAAATAGCTGGAGGAAATCATAGACATGTTTAGTATTTGGAAAGATATCACTTTGGATACAAATGAACGATCATTGGCAATTAGCAGTGCTTTTTATGTTTACCCATTAGCATTGTCACCCTTTGCAGTCCCTGTGCTCCTCCCAGCGTCACCAAGTACCCTCGATGAAACGTATACAGCAGCAGTTCTCAATCCGTGGGTCGCGACCCCTTTGGGGGTTGAACTACCCTTTCACAGGGGTCGCCCAATTCATAACAGTGGCAAAATGACAGTTATGAAGCAGCAATGAAAATAACTTTATGGTTGGGGGTCACCACAACATGAGGAACTGTATGAAAGGGTCGTGGCATGAGGAAGGTTGAGAACCACTGCTCTAGAGTTTTCCGTAACACATCCTAAGTGAAAGAAAACTAAAGTCTGGTTCGTAAAACTCTCAAGATTTTCCAGAAAATCTTTAATTTCATTGTTCTTTTTAGGCACTATTGAGTTAGTTCTGACTCATAGTAACCCTGTGTATGACAGACGGAAACACTGCCTGCACCTGCGGTATCCTCACAATTGTTGTCCTGTTTGAGCCCCTTGGTGCAGCCAGGGTCTCCATCCATCTCATCAAGGACCTTCTACTTTTTTGCTGCCCTTCTACTTTACCAAGCAGGATGTCTTTCTCCAGGGACTGGTCTTTCCTGAGAACATGGCCAAAGTACACGAGACAAAGACAAACTTTAAGGAGCAGACTTCTTCCAAGACAGGTCTGGTTGGGCTTTTGGTGGTAGTCAGTGGGAATTTCAATATTCTTCACCAACACCATAGTTCAAATACAGCGATTCTTCTTCCATCTTCCTTAGCCAAGGTCTACCTTTCACATGCAAATGGGATGATTGAAAATACCCTGGCTTGGGTGAGGTATACCTTAGTCCTCAAAGTAACAGGCTTGTTTTTCAACACTTTAAAAAGGTGTATGAATATTCTTGATCAGAATAAACCTATCAAGTCGAAAGCAAATGTTTTGAGAATGATGAGGGCAACAAATGTACAAATGTGCTTGGCACAATGGATGGATGTATGGATTGTGATAAGAGTTGTACGAGCCCCGATAAAATGATGTTAAAAAAATGAACCTATAGGGACAACAAGCAGAATAACAGTTTGGGGAGTGGGTTACAGTGGTGGTGGGGGTGAATAAAAGGGAGATGGTGTCAAGGAGTCCAGGAAGAAAAAGAATGTTTGGAAACTGATTGCGGTAGCAATTGTGCAATTCCGCTTGACGCGATTGAATTATGGGATGATATATGTATTAACTCCAAATTAATAATAAAATTTAAGAAATAAATAAAAGATTGGGTCCTAAAAAAAAAAAGAAAATATCAGAAAACTGTCAGGGGAGCGAGCCCCTAACAAATGATCACAGGCCCAGCAGGCACAATTGTACAGTGATAATATGTAAAGATTATAGTAAAGTCATAGAGAATAAGATAAATAAAAGAGAAAGTGAAATAAAGGATTCAGACACATTTCATAATAGCATGCTCACCTCAGTCACGCTTGGTGGTCCCCATGAGGATGTGGAAGGTGGGAATTGCAGGAGCGAGCGAGAGCGGTTTATTGCTAACCAAGGCTTATGTATCTTTTGGGGGTGTGCAAGCCCCTTAATTACAGGTAAAGACATACAACTCCAGAAGGGGTTGTACTATAGGTAATACAGTAATGAAAGGGGGACTCTCTAGGGGTGTACATGCAATAGGAAGGGGAGGGATTAAGGGTACACATGTGACAAGATGGGCAGATCCTAGATTCATGATGGCGGCCTAATCTTGATTGCCCTTGAGCTGGAGACGCTAAGCTTTCAGGGGAAGCAATCCACTGTCCCTTAACAGCAGGGAGTGAGCCCCACCTGTGGTAGGATAAACAATAGTGTCTGGTTGCTCTGGATGGCTGAATGCCTACAGGGAGAATATCTCTAAGCATCTGGTCCCACCATGTGCTGGCAAACAGCCTGTGGCATATCTTTGGGGGAGACAAAGCTGGGGAAAAGTCTTTTTGTATTAAGGTGACCAGATTTTAACATTGGTAAAGCCGGACACCATTGATAAACTCATATCCTGGAGAAATAGCCACATGGCAGCCAAAAACTGTATACCCTAGCTTGTCGTGCATTCTTTCCAAAAACCAGGACTTTTTAAAAACGCCGTGGGACACAGGAAAAATTGTTAAAAATCAGGACTGTCCTGCCAAAAGCGGGACGTCTGGTCACCTTATTTTATATCCCAAAGAAAACCACTCTGTGTTCATGTGGAACCTGTACATGGATCAAGAGCCTGTTGGGCAAACTGAGCAAGGGAACACTGCATGGTTGAAGATCAAGAAAGGTGTACGTCTGAGTTGTATCCTCTCACCACACTGGTTCAGTCTGTATGCTGAGCCAATTATCAGAGAAACTGGATCATATGAAGAAGAATGCGGCATCCGGATTGGAGGAAGGGTTATCATAACCTGGGATATGCAGAGGACGCAGCTTTGCCTGCTGAACATGAAGAGGACTTGAGGCACTTGCTGATGACGATCAAGGACAGCAGCCTTTGGTATTATCCATGGGTTATCTATGCCACCCGATACGTTTTTTTCCTAAAAGATTCCATCTCATGAAATTCTGGACATTTTTTACTAAAAGAATCCATCCAATTGAAAACAATTTAATAAGATTAGATAGGTATCGTAAGGGATTTAAATCCCATTTTTGCCATCAACTGGTGGATATGACCACGGACAAGGTTACTTATTTGTTCTTTGCTTTAGTTTCTGTGTCTATGAAATGGGATCAATAATAAACTGTGCAGCACGGTGACGACTGTATGATGAAATCAAACAAAGAAGATCCAAACTCACTGCCATCGAGTCGACTGTGCCTCACTGTGACAGGCTAGGGCAGGGTCGCATTCCCCTGCTGGGTTTCTGAGGTGGAAACTCTTTACAGAACTAGACAGCCTTGTCCTTTGCCCTCGGAACACCTAGTGGTTTGGAACTGCTGACGTTGTGGTGAGCAGCACACCCTGAAACCCACTACACTACCAGTGCAGACTTACTGAATGAGTACCAATTTCACCCAGAGAGTTCATTCAACAGATGTTCATTAAATGTAATTTGCTAACCTCTACTCTCCAAATTTCTACACAAAATAGAAGAAGTCTGTAAAGATGAATTACTATCACCAACTGTTTTGAAGAATTTGACTGAACTGAATGAACAGTTTAGAAATAAAAAAGAGTATGTTAGTTACCCATGCAAGGATGTTATCTTTTGTTTGGAATTGGGATAACTAAAACTCCAGATAGGGAATTAAGGCTCATTTATATCCTAAGTGTCTGAGTAACCACATATTTTTTTTGCTGGAATTTAGAGATAAGAAAAATATCTCTTATGACCCATAGTCCAGCAAACACTCACTTGGATTCCTTTGCTATATAGGAATGCAAATCTTTCTCTTATTATTTTGAAAAGGCAGAGTGATAATGTCTTTGTTGACTATATGTGATCAGTTGTGGAATAATGTGAAATGGCTGCAAAGACAGCACTTTGCCTACTAGGTATTTAACCTGATGCATGGTCACTCTGGCTCAGTTTATGTCTTTGTAAGCCATCAAGAGGCATACAGTTTGAGAGGCAAGTTATTTAAGCTTTTACTACCTTAGTATACCATATATGCTTGAGTATAAGCTGACCTGAGTATCAGCCGAGGCACCGAATTTTACCACAAAAACTGCATAAAAATGTGCTGAAAAACTTGGTTTATACACGAGTATGTACGCACTTACCCAGAAAATGCTGGTGATAATATTACCCTGATTACAGATGACTACAGCTACTACTACTAATAGTGATGATGATAATGACGATGTCCACGATGACAGTAACATGCCTCCTAAGTTGTTGTTAAGGATTAAAGGAGGCAATAGATGTAAATGTAAAATGGTAAAGTATTATATGACTGTTGTTTACTATTGTTATTATCCTGAACAGTGTTAATGGTCAATGAAAATATAAGGGAAAATAAACAATGATCTAGGAGACTATAGGATCCCTAGATAGAATAATCCATACCCCCAATTTTTTTTCTTGATGAACTAATTCAGAAACACATATTCATTTCTCCTGCTTTAGGGACTTTCCAGAGGGCTTTTCGAAAAACTTAAGCTAGGAGGGAAAAGCCCAAGGAAGATGAGAGAGGGCAGAATGTACCCGCAGACTCCTGAGCTGTTTGTCCAGTGAAGGAGAGCCATAGAAACTTCTGTTTCGACTATGTGTGGGAGAGAAGTTCTCAGGCTATTCTTGGTCTTTTAAAACCCTTCTCATACAATCCAGGTGGCTATAAACAGAAAAGTCCTTAAGAATCATCTTGCCAGCTCTTTATTGTATAAATGGAGAAACACATCGAGAGGGAGGAAGGGATGTGTCCCAGGTGGCTTAGGAAGCCACTGAGGCTATAACTTAGGTCCGTTGACGACCAACCAGTCTAGTGCTCTCTACCATGTCACCTTGCCTTTTCAGGAGAGCCATATTCCTGTTGTCACCCAAGAGCAGCCAGTCAACTAGGTACCCTTTCAGGATTCAAATTAGAGAAACAATTGCATGTTTTTTTCTGGTATCTCTAGCTCAAGCATTGGCATTAAAAAAACCCCACTAAGTCCCAGGTGAACACATCATGCATTCTGGAAGCTGTCACTATAGCTGGGAAACTTACCTTCACAAAGAGCTCAATTTCAGGATCTGCTTGCGTTCTGAGCCGCAGGCCTGCCATCCTTCTGTCGTACAGGCCCCTGCCTCGTGCACAATGCACAACACTCGCAGACTCTTTCGGTTTTATCCAGAGGCTCAAGTATTGTTAGTGCTTGAAAAGGAGAGTCCAGCTTGTAGTTGACTGAGTCACAGCTGGGAATAGTCTCTTGTCTAAAAAAGGTGGAGTCCAGAAAATTCTAGAGGCTTGAGAGCAGTTTTTGAATTCCTTTTCCTTTTTCCTCTTGACCTAACATCTGAATCAAGGAGGAGTCATAGGGGCGTGTGTAAATTGTCTGGGTAGAAGGGTGGGGGTGTTTCCAGAGACGCTTCAATGCCGTGAGTCAGCACTGGAGAAACACACACACACACACACACCCCACTGGCTTCTATATATCAAGCATACCAGATGTTTTCTAGATCCTCCCTTTGAATGCTGGGCTCCATGCCCAGAAAAGGGCCCTTTTTGCTGTTCCTGTAACCTGACAATAGCAAAAAACAAAGAAACACACACAGAAAAAACTCCTTCAGGAAAGAGCCAGAAATGATTTCAGGTTTGTCGTTGTAAAGGATGCTTATCCAATGATCCTGTCTCCGGGGGCAAACGAGTGTATGTCATCAAATGTCTCTAGCCCTAATTCTGCTGTTCACATAATCTGATTGCCCTTTGGGGTTGTGATTTTCACTTCCCTTCTATAACCAGGGAAGATTTGCTGGCGGTTTCTTTTGCCTACCCCATCTACTTCTTTATTTCTGGGGATCAGGGACTGGGAACCAATCAGTTCCTTGTTTTGGGGTGTGTGCACCAGGACCACAAGTAGTTCAAGGTCTCTTCTTGTCGACCCTGGGAGCAGCAGTAAAATGTCAATTTGCTATCCCTCCAAACTAATCCCTTGGTGTCACAGGGTATGTGACCTGCATTCGTGTGGACAGTACGTGTACCTGCCATTGGCCCAGGAAAAGATTTACAGGATCCAGAGGCTCTTCTTGACAAAATGCAGCCTGTGTCACACCTGCAGCTTGCACACAAGGAGGGGCTGATGCGGAGTGTGTGCGCTGGGTGTAGGACCTGACGATTTCCTAGAGGATCTTAAACGTGAGAGGGAAGTCATTCTACAAGTCTGTTGAGCGTGCCCTTGATGCTGAGTTTAGGGTGGGTTGTTGAGTAGGCCCTGGGGAATGCTTTCGGTGGCCATCTTTTTCACCATTCACTCACTCCAAAGACAGTCAACAGAAGCCTGTCCCGTGCCATGCTGCTCGTCCACTCACACATGTTGGCAGCATGGAAGGGAAACAGGAATCTACCTTTAAGCTTGCCAAGTCTAGGGCATGTTCATTCTTCCCCCCTTCCTATAGTGAATCAATACAGATTCTTGTCACTGTTACATCTTGAAAGTGTTTTGTGTTTTTTTTTTTAATCTATCCACTCAATGGGTTGATCCTGGGATTCATCAGTGGCCTGTCATCTGACCTGCTGACCTTGGGTTCATTCGCCTCTGCACACACAAGCCTGACCAGCTGACCTTGGATGCACCAGCCTCTACAGCTCTCTGAGTCAGGAGAAGCCTCCAGCCTAATGTCTGACCCACAGACTTGGAACCTGCTTACTTTTACAACTGTGTGAGCCATTTCCTTTGTATGAGTTCCTCTCTCTCTCTATCAGTGCCACTAGTTTTGCTTACCTACAGAACCTAGCCTAAGACATCCACCAACCACTAAAACCAATGATGAAGAAATTGAAGAATTCTACCAATGTCTTCAATCTGAAATTGCTCAAACATGCAATTAAGAAACATTGAAAAGTACTGGTGATTGGAATACAAAAATTGGAGACAAAGAGGCAGGATCTACAACCGGAAAATATGGTCTTGGTGATAGAAATGAAGCTGGAGATTTCACAAGAGAATTTTGCAGGACCAACGACTTCATCATTGTTTTTTCAACACTAGAGACAAGAGCATACACATACATGGACCTTGCCAGATGGAGTACACAGGAATCAAATCGACTACATCTGTGGGAAGAATGAATGGAGAAGCAAAATAGCAGCCAAAATGAGGCCAGGAGCTGCCTGTGGAACAGACCATCAATTGCTTCTATGTAAGTTAAGGTTGACGCTGAAGAAAATTAAGACAAGTCTAAGAGAGGCACACTCATAAAAACCCAACCCCCAAACGACCTTCACTAGAGCTAATCTGAATATGGAGACCATCTCAAGAACAGACGAACTGTGGGGTGACATCAAGGCCGTCATACCTGAAGAAAGCAAGCGATCATTAGAGACCAAGCAAGTAAGAAAAGACCAAAGCAGATGTCCGCAGAGACTGAAACTTGCTTTTAAACAGCGAGGAGCTCATGGATGAAGTGATGGCATAAACAAGCTGAACAGAACATCTGAAGACAGCTTGAGAAGATGAAATCCAGTTTTATCATGAGATGCGCTGAGACCAGGAGTGAGAAAGTCACCAAGGAAGGACAGGCTCTGCACTCCTAGGGCGGAAAGAATTAGAGTGAGAAAAAACCTAAAGACTTGGTTGCAATATTAAAGGATTCTATGGACAAAATATTGAACAAATGATGCAGGAAGCATCCATTGAAGATAGAAGGAATACAAGAGAGTCCCTATCCAAAAATCTATTAACATCCAGTCATTTCAAGAGGTAGTATATGATCAGGAACCAATGGCATTTATGGAAGAAGTCCTGGTGACCCTGAAGGCATCCATGAAAAACAGACATGACGGCACTTACCAATTGCAGATTGACTATGGCACAGAAAATGGGAACGAGTTGTACTGAATCCCAGAAGAGCAGAAGCGGCAGCATTTTAAGATGAGACCATTGCTACCTCCCTGCCAGCGCCATGACATGGTTCTTACAAGGACTACAAGGGGAGGGGCTGACCTTTGAGGAGATCTGAGAACAAACACTACACGCAGGATCCTGGTGAGAAAACAACAGGGGAAGCTCGTGATCACAGCTGCCTCATTGGATCAGTGCATGGCACGTGAATAGTGTTAGAGAGCGATAGGGTGCTGCGCCGGACATGGATCATTTCCAATGCCGGTCGGGTCTGCAAGCTTGTCCAGGTGCTCAGGAGAAACTAGAAAGATCGCCAGTGACCTGCTTATTCCTGACTAAACACAGGACCTGTGCAGATAGAGAGTAAGAGCCAGGAAAACTTGTAAAACTGCCTAAACCTTGATAGGCACCGCAACTCCTACACAGAACCTTAGCAAAGAGTAGGAGCCTTTCTGCTATGAGGTGTTTAACAGCACAACATTTGATCAGTCATTGGCTGACTACTAAGACATATTGACTCACTAAAACCAGCACAAAACCATGGCCACATAGGCAGGCACTATACAATCACTCTCTTTAAGCAACGATTAAGGGGGAACAAAGTGGAGAAGAAAGAATGAAGAGTCAGAGTTCTGAACCTCCCAAGTAGGAGATTGACTTGGACAAGACACAGACTGGCAACTCAGAAAAGCAGCCCTGGGCATCCCCTCCCCCAGCACTGTGCTCCCACGGCTGAACCCATGCCTCACTCCCCCCAACCACTGGGCCCTGTGACTTAATCTAATCCCACAGAAGACAGTGGCCCCTGTCCCGCCACATATATCAGAGGGTGAGCCCACGCCAGATCACGCAGGGAAAATTAGTTGTTAACCAGCTCTCTGCAGTCCTACAGTTGAAAAACACACATGCCCACAAATAAGTTCCCTGTTAGTGAAAAGCACCAAATGTTGACACTGAGCCCTGCTGTGACGTTTACCTTGAGCGCAGACCAGAGCTTCTGTTCCCCAAATGGGGTAGAGAGAGGTTCCAGGTGAGGAGGAAAAGGTTGAGCTGCTTGAATGTTCTCTTCCGCCGCTATCTGGCCTTGGAAGGCAGCTGTCTCAGTCTTGGCCTACACCAATTGCAAAGCATCGGAGGCAACCTCCATACTAGGACCTTGGCATAAAACCAGCAGCTGATTTGTGATTTAGGAATTGGAGTTTGGTTTTGTTTTTCTCTTTGATTTCTTGTTTTTGTTTTGTTTTCTTTGTACTAAGTTGAGAGAAGCCAACATTGCGTGTGAGAGTGCATGGGTTGTATGTGCTCTTGTTTGGCTTGTAATCTATCCATTTGTGGGATTGGCCACATGACCCAACCACCCCTAAAACCTTCATCAACTATGTAATTCACAGAGAATATTAGCCACTCTAATAACACCTGACCAACAGATAGACAAAAATTAAAATAATAGTATGTCTTGGAAGCAATCAGTAATTTCTGTGCACACGAAAAACCAAATAAAAGTGGCACAAGAGAGTGGTCAATACACAGACACGGGGGAATTTTCAGATGCAGCAAGGGCACCAGAGCTGCCGAGGAAAGAAGAACCACTGGTCAGAGGCTTCCGATGGAAGGAGGCTGGGTGGGAGGGGGGACCTAGAGAGCCACAGGGCAAAAAGAAAGGATGGAAGGAAGAAAATAGGAGAAGAGAGAAGAATTAATGAAACCACTACAAAAACTATCAGGCAAATCAAATCAAATTTTAGAAATAGTTCAACAATTTCAAATAGAAATCCAGAAGGCAAACACTAAAATATTAAAAGCGGATAACACTATGAGAGAGCAAAATAGTATAATCAAACCATTGGAAGCCTGAGTTAGTGAAGTGCAAAACAAATATCTCAAGACTAACTACAAGAAGTACCATCTATAAAAAGAACAACAACCCCCCCCCAAAAAAAAACCCTGAAGAAAACCAAAGAATTATGTGAGATAGTATCAAAAGGAATAACTTATGTTTGATTAACATTCTTGAACATAAACAAGAGGGAAAAAAACACAGAAAAATGAGCCCAAGAAATACTGGAAGCAAATTTCCCTAATGAGACAGAAAAGAAAATAGCCATTCAAGAGGCTAATAGACCTGAAATAGAAATGACTCCCAATGAAAATCTCTGTGTCATGTCATAGGTCAAACTTTCCAACATCAAAGAAATGACCCATGAGAACAACTAATAAAAAAGAAAATTACCTATAAAGGAGAACCAATAAGAATAAACTTGGTATGACAAAATAATAATAAGTCATACATTATCAAGGGCCCATGAGGGAGGGGGGAAATGAATAGCAGATACCAAGGGCTCAAACATAAAGCTAATGTTTTGAGAATGATGATGGCAACAAATG